CACCCACACCCACACCCACACCCACACCCACACCCACACCCACACCCACACCCACACCCACACCCACACCCACACCCTTCTGAATATAGAAAATTCACCCCATTTTAAGGTGTTACTCCAATTTAATATGAAATCATCCCATTAGTCTCTTCCGAGTAAATTCGATAGCTTGAAAACGATAGGACTCGTTTGAGGGTGAGGTGTGGAGGGTGTAGATCTTTCTCTACATACCCACACTCACACCCACACCCCTGTTCTCTATCCATTCACTCATTGCGAATACACACATTTCATATTGAGAAGAAAATCAAATTCAAGATCTCTATTGATAACGGATACAAATAAGAATTTAAATGGCCAGTAAAGTGCCTGCTGCTAGGAGTGTGAGCAAAGTGGCAACTGTTATAGCGACAGAATTTTGCAAACAACATTAGGGGCCAACTACACCCAAATAACTTTGCACGTATCGCGTAAGAGGAAAAAGTTGACTCTACAATTATCTGAGTTCAAGTGATTTTCGTAAGTTCTGATGACACCAGCGATTCAAGATTAGTTCACTCCCCTGCATTTACAATCAGAGAACATCCAGCAAACCCACGTTACCAAGTTTAAGTAAAATAGTGTGATCATTCGCTGTACATTCAAGAACAATTTTTATAATGAAACACCTACAAAAATAATTAAGTAAATGTTAATTGTCATTTTTATTATACCAAGCCTATAGCTAAAGCGACTGATCAGTTTTCTCCCCGGCGTATAATCCAAGATGGAAGTGCGTTATGATTTTGAGCCTAAATAATAGTAGTCAATATCATCGAACAACAAAATGAGTGATAGCAAACCTGAGTGATAACTGTGCCTGGCCCTTCAAAGCAACAGACTATGGATAGATCCTGTTCATCACCCTTCATTTCATAATAACAATTCCAAGCAACCAAAGCAGCAAGGTTAACAAACCATTTTTCGCCTTTATTCAATGTGCGTTGCTGTACAGCACCAAGTGATGGTATAAAGACTACACCAGAACCGGAAAATCTGTAAACAAAGACGGGCTCGTTCATCATTATTTCTCGGCATATTGGATGAGACATTGTTTCTTTGACTATTCCATAAGTCATTGCTAAATGACCATTTCTGCCCACTGTCCATTTAGTGTCACCATCCAGATGAATTGGAACAATGTCTCCCCTATAAATTTAACGATGATATAAAATTACATGTATTTTATGTGCTATTTGTATCTATGGTATGATCGAATAAGAAATAAAGTCTTAAGGTAATTCTTTTTATTGCCACTCAGAAAAAAATTGACATCGAAAATTTCATATGTGTGGATTACTTTGAATTGAATAAATTCTAAGGATAGAAAACGTATAGAATCTCTGTGAAAACGTTTCTCATTCAAAAATCTAATAATATTCGGACAGAAGTCTCTGTGTTACCTTTGCATAAACGAGAACGTGCACTTGTTGCTGAATAAACTTTGAAAGACCGAGTGAAATAAACAAAAGTATTTTCATTTTCGAAATTTCACATAGATTTATCAAAATCTCATAAATTTTACTCAAAAACTATATGTATTCATCGTTAATAAACTTCTTATCTGGCATTTTAAACAGTCTAATTATTTATCACTAATAATGTCACATCATTGTCGTTTCAAAATTGAATAGTCCATTAAGATAAGGAGCTGTCGCGAACACTGAAGTTATGGTGTGTCAAATACAAAAAATTCTTTCTTTATGCATGATATACTCAATCTCTTGTTCTTGTTCTGAAAATCTTCAGAGCACTTCTCATATTCTTACCATATTGATGGTGCCAATAATATTTCACCTTTGCCCACGCAAAAATACTCGAAAAAAGGATCATCGTTGAGTAATTTTCGGAGTTTAAACCGAAAAGCACGCTTGAAAGCAATGTTACCACTCCTAGCAACCAAGATATCAGGTTTAACCATGATTGAGCCGTTATCTATTAATGTAACAGACAAAATTGCACTTGATCCTTCGCGAGTGATCTTGTAGAATCCACCATCAAATTGTCCTTCGAAACGAATCAAAAAATCATCCGGGTTTGTCTGAGATGCTGATGCCATAGTTTATACTCTACAATAAAAGTTCACTATGTATTCGGCCCTTTCTGTCTGAGAATAAAACAAAAAACGATGAAATATTTCCACCGTAGGAAAATAAATCAATGTAAAAATTGAAAAAGTGAGAGAAAATGTAAGCACAACAGAAAACAAACGAAAGTGGACGTGTAGATAAGAATAAAGAGTTAAACCCATTATGCAGGGTGGAAACAAGTCGAATTTTATGCATCGTAATACCGGTTCAATGTTAAGAAAAATAATCAAAATAAACAGAATAAAACGTAATCAAACGATCGCTTCATCATCGAGAAGATGAAAGGAAGAAAAAACATAAAAGAGTAAACATTTAGTGATATAGCTCGTGCGCATATGTATCGAGCTCGTTTTGAAAGCAGATCGCAAAGAAGATTTGTTGAGGACAATAGATCGAAGACTGCTATCATCGTACACTGCTTTACATAGTCTATGATGCTTTTACTGCTGTATTTTACCACAAAGGGCATCAATTTCGCCGAATACTTATGTACGATATTTCATCCGATTCTGAGACTTTTTTCAATACTATTTTCATTCTTTTTATTTACCTTTCTCATTGATTTTTCTTTCCTCTGAGTGAAATAAATGTTTACATAATTAGGGTGTGGGTGTAGTTGTTGCTCATTTCTTTTACTACATCCACAACCACATATCTACAATCTCGCACCCATACTCACACATGATGCATTTACTCCTGCATTTACCATAGAGGACATTCATTTCGCCCAATACTTATGTACGATATTTCATCCCATTCTGAGACTTTTTTCAATACCATTTTCATTCTTTTTTTATCTTTCTCATTGATTTTTCTTTTCCTCTGAGTGAAATAAATGTTGACATAGCCAACTTTTTCTATTTTCTTCATTATTTAATGTCATTTTCGTAAGTATTCATATCCAAATGTGCTACTCTTTAAATAACTTTTTCTCTACTACGTTTCTTGTATGTTTAGGGGTGCAACAAATCCATAGGATTGGATTTGGGTTTGGGTTTGTTTGCATGTTAAATTGCATGCACCAAATCCCAAATCCAAATCTTAGTGCATCCCTATGTATGTTTAAAACTTCGAATGCATATTCTCAATATTGTGCTTGTAAAGAGTTTGCTTTATCGTCGAACTTTTTTTTATTAAATGTGTCTCTGTATTTTCATTGCTCTTGTAGAGTAATCGATTCATCATCGTACTACACTTTTTTGATAGAAAGCTGAGTTTTATTCAAAGAAGATACCTATGGGATCGGGAATAACGAAGATATTGCCGGAATCTACTTCTCAGAGAAAAGCTAAAAACACTTACGACTATAAAGAACATTCTTATGATGCAAGTTCGTTGTTGTCGATAGAATTGAAGGACAATGTAAAACTTGACATGTTTGCGCATCCGGATGCTATGGTTGCATGGTCAAATGGTATAAAGACCAAATGTAAAGAAAACATGATTAAAACTGTGATATTATCTCCTGAAACAATGAGAACAGAAGTGATGGGTCCCGGAGAAGTAAAACTTACCCCACCAGTCTGGAAAGTAACGTTCCCTGAGAGACTTATATTTTGTTAAATAATAAGCAGAGTGTGAGTAGGGTGAACAACCGAGAGGAGATCTAGTTAGCTTTGAGTCTCTGGACCTTTCTCGTGATAATCTTACAATGAAAGTATTCATTCGTAAGTTCTGCGCTTGGAGCAAATAGCTAAAAAGATGGATGACAAGAACCTGGCTGCGACGGATTGTGTATCCGAAGAGTTAAACAGACACAGTGGAACTTCCTTTAGTGGACAACTCTGCTTAATGAGGGGTGTGGGTGTGGGTGTGGATATAATTGTACTCTAAAAACGCCCACACCAATACCCACACCCACACCCACATCCATACCCACACCCACACCCACACCCACACCCACACCCACCCATAGTAAAGATTTATTTACCATAAATTATTTTGTCTTTTCGCGAAACAGCATTTCACAAATAAATGAAAAAATAGACAAATATAATATGTTGCCTTTTGCTATCTATCAACAACTCATGGCATAAATACCGAACCAATTTATGCGATAAAATGTGGTGGATATCGAAACTGCTGGTTTCTCGTGGTATATTGTACTTATGAGAGCCGGAAACCGGGCAGTAAAACTGCGCTAAACTGTCGATTTTCTTCTGATTTTACCGTATGGGAAGACATTTACTTCTATAAACCTATCAAGGAAAAATCCTATTCTCCACGGAGCAACAAACATATCTAATCAAATATGAAGTTTCTTCAATCTCCCTAGGTTTCCATCTGGCAAATTCTAACAGAAAATAAAAACATATCGTTGTATATCTTAATGTCTATGAGTTAAGCAATGTACGATTGTCCTTTTCAACAGATCCTCCAATTCACAAACCTAGCGTCCTTACCAATAATATGTTTACAATCGCTTCTTTTTGTCAATTTTGTCTAGGGGCCATATAGTTCCACTTAATATAGTTGAAAATTATTCGTACATGGTACGGGACAACGGGTTTTTCGCGACAATTGGTGAAATACAGGTCGATATT